TGAGATCGGTCGCTTGTTCACAGTGTAGTATTTCCTGTACAGTGAATGGCACGTAATGCACTATATAGGCGATAGGGAACGATTCAGATAGTGTAAATATGCTTTCGATTGGGGCAAATGAGGTCTGGTTTCATGTTGTGTCACGCGAACCACGGCAGCACACACAGTCTGATCTGGACTTTGGCTCCGGTCCAGAGATGCAATCGCACGGAGCGATCATATGCACGAGTCGGCATATATTAAACACTTGTAAAACTACGCAGCCTCAGCATGATTATGATCACTATTTTGTTTAACTAAGAGTTTCATATTGAATCTATTAGACTGTGGCTGTCAAATGCGGCTTTACCGAGCTCAACGGCTCTGACCCCAGCAGATATAAACAAAACGCTATTGGCTCAAAAATAAAACAAATGACTAGTTTTCCAAAACAGAGGAGTGAAATAATGAATCAGTAGAACCTCTGCAATACATTGTGTTGAAAGAACCTCACAATTGTGCACTTGTTTTCTTAAAGTCCCCATGAAATCAAAATTAAAGTTTTTTGGGTGTTAGTATCAATATGTTAGTCTTAAGGTTATCTATAAGCCAGTGTGCTCCAAAACAGTGACAAAATTCATTTAGAAGATATAAGCCCGAGCTCAACGGCTCTGACCCCAGCAGATATAAACAAAACGCTATTGGCTAATTTAAAAAGGGGGCGGGGCTGCTCGATATGTCCCGCCCTGTCTTCCTGTTTCAGTTGAAATTACGTCACCACATAGAATAACGCTGCTGTTTCAAGGCACTTCTGGGGACCTTTAAAGGAGTAGTTCACCCGAAAATGAACATTTGCTTAAAATGTGCTCACCCTCAGGCCATCCAAGATGTAGATGAGTTTGTTTCATCATCAGATTTGGAGAAATGTAGTATTGTATCACTTGCTCACCAACAGATCTTCTGCAGTGAATGGGTGCCGTCAGAATGAGAGTCCAAACAGCTGATAAAAACATCACAGTAATCCACAAGTAATCCACACCACTCCAGTCCATCAATTATTAACTAAAATATGAGTCCATAATTCATAATAACGCTTCCTCCAGTAAAAAAAAGAGAAAGAGAAATCTGCACAGATCAAGCACTGTTTACAAGCCAAAACAGCTCTAAACAAATATGTGGCTGGATTTTGATGTGAGAGACAACAGGAGATGGACTTTTTCCCTGGAGGAAGCGTTATTATGGATTATGGACTGGAAGCAACGGTTTGAAGTTAAAAAGGTCTTAAAGATGAATTTGTTTCTCATAAACAAGCACCTTTTGTCTTCTCAAGACGTTAACTGATGGACTGGAGTGGTGTGGATTTCTTGTGGATTATTGTGATGTTTTTATCAGCTGTTTGGACTCTCATTCTGACGGCACCCATTCACTGCAGAGGATCCATTGGTGAGCAAGTGATGCAATGCTACATTTCTCCAAATCTGATGAAGAAACAAACTCATCTACATCTTGGATGGCCTGAGGGTGAGAACATTTTCAGTAAATGTTCTTTTTCAGGTGAACTACTCCTTTAACCTACTGCAAGGGGACTGCAGTAAGCGGCTGTATCCTCACTAATGGATGTGTAACAGTGAGATTTCTTTCTGTGTTTTTGTGTCAGATCTTGGCATCAGACTGGGCTCAAGCAGAGGCTAGTTTTCACCTCTGTGAGGTTCTCTTTAAGGTTCATAAGGTACGAACACACATGTATGACTTTTATCAGTAGATGCTGAGTGCTTTGTATTTGTTTTGTTTGCCATTTAAAGTCAACATGAAATCAAAACGTATGTTCCTAAATCATATTCCTGCTCTTATTGTACATGATTCATCAGTGCACATTGTTCTAAAGAAATAAAATATTTGTTTTCATATTTTGTTGTTAAAAATAAATACATATTAAAATGTATTTGTATATGTAAATGTATATGTATAACAAATATGCATATATTAGTCTATTTGATAATGTTCTCAGCTTAACAATAAGGATTTTTTTTTTTTTGATGACCAAGTATTTGTATTTACTCTGCCCCAACACAAAACAGTGATTTAAAAAATATATGTATATTTTTTGTCAAAAATTTTATGTGAAAAAAAAATATTTTTTGAAGAATTGAGAACTTTTATTGAGCAAGGATGCATTACATTGATCAAAAGTGACAGGAAAGACATTTATAATGTTACAAAAGTTGATTTCTATTTTAAATAAATGCTCTTTTTTTAACGTTCTATTCATCAAAGAATCCTAAAAAAAATCAAATGTATCACAGTTTACACAAATATATTCAGCAGAACACTTGTTTTCAACATAATAATTGTTTAATAATTATCAGAAATGTTTCTTGAGCAGCAAATCAGCATATTAGAGTGATTTCTGAAAGATCATGTGACACTGAAGACTGGAGTAATGATGCTCAAAATTCAGCTTTGATCTCAAAAATTACATTTTACAATATATTCACATAGAAAACTTATTTTAAATTGTATTAATATTTCACAATATTATAGTTTTTACTGTATTTTTGATCAAATAAATGCAGCCTTGGTGAGCAGAAGAGTCATTCAAAAACCTTACAGAAATCTTACTGACCCCAAACCTTTGAACAGTAGTGTATATATTTATATTTATAGTTATATAGAAACCAAACAAACTTAGAACTGTCACTATGTCTCTTTTGCTGCTGTCTAGCTGTGGATAGCGGAAGACTGCTGGATACAGACCAAGTTTTATCTGGGGCTCCAGCAGGACAGAATTGTGAGAAAATGTCTCCATTTCCTTTTTAATTATGTTTTCCTTGGCAGAAAAAAGCTTCCACAGAAATCAATCCAAATGCCACTTAAGGAGGTTTTATTGCATTATTCTTATTACTATAATACAAGAGTGAAAACCATCCTGTTTAGGCACAGTATCAAATAGCAGCATTTGTTGTATTTAATAGAATTATCATCTGTTTTTCAGTAATGCATTACAGTAATAATAATAATAAAGCGATGCTGAGCACTTTTTGCATTTCGGCAACAAGAATGAGGCCTTTAATTTAAAATATATATCCTGTCAATCAGCATTAAAATACCACTTCAAGAGATGAAACACAGAGAAAGCGGAATATGACAAGTGAAGCATTGATTTCTGCATCTGTCAGCACTGCGGTGCGATGCATGCGAGAGCAGGAGCTCGTCTGTGTCTGATTCGTGCGTTTCAAATGTTATTACTGCTTTAATTAAATTCCTCTGAAGAGTCTTTTCTGTGAGACCTCTCCTCGCTGAGCCGTTAAATTACCTCCAGCACACAAAGGTCTAGCGCATCTCCAGTGTCCCCGTGAACTCCTGCAGGGCGTCTATTATGAAGTATATGCTAACATAAGTTCACGGGATGAAGGGGATTTAAGTCTGAGCGGCTCCGGAGACTCACGTTACTCACATTTAAGTCGTCTTAAATACCACCCGGGGTCAAACGGAGAGCGTCACATTGCTCGTTTCCGGCGATATCCCGACGCGTAAGTATGCATTACTACGGCATATTTATTTATGGCTCATGAGCATTATGTAGGTTTAGCGCTCTGCCGGTGGCTCTTCGGCGTTGATTCGCTCATACTTTAGCTTAGAGGAGCAGATTAATGGCTCTCTGGATAAACTGCATATCATATTCCATGCAAGAAATCAAAATCCTCATCTAACACAGCACTAACGTTTTATTTGAGGTTAATTGAGGGAGTAAAGGCCACAAAAAGCCTAATAGACCATCGTGACATGCTGCCAAGTCATGACAGCAAAATTGACTACGTGTCCATTTGGTCTTTATTCCAAGGGCGATTTCCAAATGGCATTTTTGTGTCCTTGAAGGACATGTCGTGAATGAATCGGTGATGGATTTCATTGTGTGAAATGTTCACTTTCATAGGCTAGTGAGAAGATGAACATGACGCCCGCTTTCAAATGTAATTCACCTCAGAATTACAGCTCGTGATGGGATGTGATGAATTTGACCTTTGGAGGATGGTTGCACAATATTGGAAAAACTGGCATTGTGATATTTTTCTGCATTATACAGTATGTTGAATGTGGTTTTGATGGAGAGTGCAGCTGCATAGAAATAAAAAATAGTTAAAAAAAAAAAAGCAGAAAAAAATGACTTTTTACTTTTTGAATCTAAACCATCCTTTAAGGGCTGTCAACTTGTTATTACTGTTTTTGACCAATTCAATATGACATTATAATTATTATATAAGACAATATTAATACTTATGATTTGTTTTGTGATTTTAAATAAAATATTACAAAAATAAGAGATATATTTATAATAAAAAAATCATTTTTAATTGACATTTTTTTAGTTTTTTGTTGTGTTTTTAATATATATTTTCTTAAACATGCTTATATTTTTTTTAGTGCTGTCAAACCAATCCAAACATCCAAAATAAAAGTTTTTGTTTATATAATATATGTGTGTGTACTGTGTATATTTATTATCTGTATATAACACATGCATGTACATATTTAAGAAAAATATGTTATAGTTCTATATCAAATATATATATATATAATATAAATTATATAAATATAAATATATACATGTAAATACATGTAAATATTTTCAAAATATATACTGTATTTGTGTGTATTTATATATACATAATAATTATACACAGTACACACACATATATTACATAAACAAAAACCTTTATTTTTGATGCGATTAATCGCGATTAATCTTTTGACAGCACTAATTTTTATTTTATTTTTATTTCAGTTTTATATATTTAATGGCTTTAGTTAACTATAATAACCCTGCATTGAGTTTTTATTTAAAATAAATAAACGTGTGTGTGTGTGTGTAATTTTATTTTATTTTAACTTTTTTTTCAACTGTTTTAGTTTTAGTTGACTGTTATAACCCTGAATTGAGCTTTTATTTTGTTGGTACGCTTGCAAATATGTGCTGCGGGTTTCAGAGTTATATCATTTATATCACATATTTATCTAATTAAATCGCAGCTTTCACGATTTGAAAATCAAAGTAAGCCATATTGGCATATCGATTTACTTAGATATATTGTGCAACCCTACTTTTTATTTTGCAAAAGATTTCAGTGTTATGTGTGCATTGCTGCCATTAAAGCTCTCTGGTGTCACGTGCCAAAATATCTTGACTCTCAGCATTTATGTTTAAGTTTGTGCATTATTAGATACTTTTATCCACTGAACACTTTCAGTTCAAGCAACTATATACATGTCCTTAGTTCTGTGTAATTCCTTCATAAATCCATCCTGATGTAAGCTCTTTCACTGAATTGAATGCAACAGTTTATGAACTGGTTTTAAAAGAAGAATTGTATTCAGTTTTTATAGCTAATAATTGTAATGGAGGATATGAATCCAGACTCATTAAGGCCATTTGAAACATTTTCCACTAAATTCTTCACATCATGTTCACTGGATTTTATCTCAGGGCTGTAGCAAATGTCTATTCAAGGATTTTGGTGCATTTTTCCCCCGTTTGCCCAAAAGCAAAGGGTCAGAAAGCAGCTCTGAATTACTGCCTACCCTTAACCAGACATTTATAAATAATACAAAGGAACGAAGCTGTCAGGGGCTATTTAAATCACTGCAGTGCTCCGACACAGAAAGGGCAACATGCAAAGCTCCAGATTCAGTCTGATTATCTGCCACCGTCCGTCCAGAGCGCTCCTGAGCTCCGCGTGCTGCGGGACACTTTTATGAGGAGCGTGAAGGATTGTGTTATGGTTTTATGTGAGGAAGTTAGCGGGAGTTCAGGATCACAGCTTCTCTGGGTTCAGTGCGCTGAGATCTGGTTTAGATGAGGCCAGATCTGAACCAGACCAGTCCCCTGAGAAGATCCATTTCTGATATGAATGAAAAGCACAGCAAAACTAGCGGGGAGGATGGATGGATGGATGGATGGAATATATACCTATATAATTTTATATATTGGCAATATATTTATTTTTACATACATTTTATAGATTGATATCTGTATGTTTTATATATAATGAAATAGAACTATATATTATTTATATATTTTTAATATTTCTTTTTTAAATACATTTTAAATATTTAGATTTTTTTTAGATATTTATTTTTAATTTATTATGTATATTTATACATTGTATAGATAGATGGATGGATATTTGTGTATTTTTATATATCTATATTTTATTTATATATTTTTTAGAGTTTAGATAATACATTACATTTATACGTAATGTATTATATTTTATTCAGAATTAAATATTTCTTTAATTATTCATTTTATATATTAAAAGCTTAGTATATTGCCTGAAGTGAATGTGAAAGAAATGCACTACTTAATGTTGTGTGTTTGTTCAGATATTTGACTCTAGTTCTGCTTCTCTAAGCAACTACCACTAATTAAGATGAAAGTGACTTTCAGTAATTCACTAAGGATAGTTGCAGACTCAGTGATTTGTGCTTCGCGTCACTCCGCTGATGATGTTATGGTCCTTCATCAGTTAGTCTTGATTGTCCAGCTCTCGTTTAGGACGCGGTGATTGACGGCTCTGAGAGATGCAGGAGTGTGTTACAGAGCCACGTTTCGCTTCAGATGCACTCCAGAAAGACATGAGTTCATTCTGCGTTTGTCAGCATCATCTTCATCACTGCTGGACCACATCGAGAATGAACACATATCTCTGTCCTTAGGGATGCAACTAAAGGTGACAGAGAATTTAAATTAGTGCTTGATTAGTGGTTTGTTCTCCAGACAGCTAGATTTGTTTTATAGTCTTGGGACAGAATCATCCTTTAGACAAGTATACAAACAGACTATTGGCCACTGCATTGCAAACACACAATTCTGTTGTACAATACATACTTAACATGCATTATATGGTATAAAAACAGCAAGTGTGTGTATTTCACAGTTGCACAGATGCAGCTGGCCAGTGGACAGCAAACAAGATTCTCTTCATGACAGTAGCTGAAGAGAGAAAACTGTAGATAGAAGCAATTACCATTCATTGCATTGTTAATTACAGTCTGTATTGCATGCATTGTTGCATTCATCTGAAATGCATGTGCAGTGCATCGATTGCATGCATGTTTGCATTCACGTATATAGAATATGTGCATTTTCATGTGATGCAGTAAAACAAAATCAGCAGCCCATAAAATAAAAAATAAAAAACCTTTGTTTGTCCAGATGTTGTAGTCATGCATCTGTTGCAATTCATTAAGATCAGCAAACACAACAAGGGCTTAACAGGCTTTTATTTACAGTTCAGTGTTGATTCAGTTCAATATATGTAGTTCCTCAACTGTAAAACATGTTCAGGTCAGTGATAAGCAGGAATAGCTGTGCCGTTAAACCAGATGTGTTGGTATCAGGGTTAATATATAGTTCAGTCATGAAACTCTAGATGGCGCAGGCTGACGGGGTGTTAACATAACTGATGATATTCAGAGAGTTAAACGACTTGTCTCAAGCTGATTGGTTCATGCTGCATATGCAGCCAATGAGCTTACTGCCTTGCATTTATATGGCTGGCTAGCATTCACTTGAGATTCCTGCAGCGTGCTTTCAGAGTTCTCTGAAACCCTCCACCTTCCCCAGCTCCACCTGTATAGATCTGCTACGGGTTATTTTATATGCTATTTGTGCAGCAGCAGTATGTCTTAAATACTCACAGCACTGTATCGCCATATGCATTGGCAGTAGCAAGTTCCTGTACTTGCTTGCAGCAGCAGCAGCAATAATCTACAACTACAGCAATAACCAACAGCAGCAGCAATTCAGCAGCAGCGTAGCAGATCTATTCCGCCAAGACCAAATACATTAACATTGTCATATCCATCACCATGCTAAAATCTTCCGAGAGTTGTCTTGATTGAATTATAGTTAATTAAAACTGAAACCATAAAAGAACTTGAAATAAAATACATTTTAACTAAAATAAAATATTTGAAAAAATAAATACATTTAGTTTAACTTGATACTAAAGTTGTACTAAAATAACAAAAAATGCATAAAATCGATCAGCATAGATATTGTTTGGGTTCACATACTTGCATAGAGTAGATTTATATCTTCGTAAGATACAGCATAACTTAAACATGAATCCCCCTTCAAAATTATTGTTTTTTTTTGTTTGTCCAAATTTTTTTGAAGATGCATCTGTTGCAATGAAAAAAGTGTATGTGTGTATGTACAGTATGTAAGGTTTATTTTTTTATTTATTATTTAAATTTTTTTTTTTTTCATTTACATTAAATTTTTTAAATGATTTTGTCTGATGTTATTTATGATCGACTTGATATTTATATGTATGTAAGGTATTTATTTATCTATTTATTCATTTATTTATTTATAATTGTGTATGTTTTAGTAAATAAAATTTTTTATTTACTTTTTTGTTTGTTTGTTTTATTTTTTATTTTTTTATTTTCTCTCTCTCTCTATTTATAATTTTTTTTATTTTAATTAATAAAAGAACGTAATAAAAATCCGTTGCAATTCATTACATCGATAAAAGCATCTTTTTTTGTGAGAAATAGCCTTGTGTTCGTAGTTCAGGAGGGGTTTTGTATGAGGAACAGTGTGGCGTTGCATGTTTGGCCGTTGATGAAGCGTCTGTGTTTGCTCTCACAGACTGCAGAGCAGAAATGTGGCACATTTGCAGCATGCTGGGACTTTCTCTCCGCTCAGCTTGACAAGGAAATCCTCGACAAACCTCACTCTGTGTTTTGCCCATCCCTCAGGAGAAGCTCTCCAATTAGCGGCGTGTATTCTGTGCTTTACATGTGACAGGCGCCGCTTACACGAGCAGACAGTGAGAGCCGCAAATCCGCTTCGCTAGCGTTTGCTTCCTCTGGCAGCTCATAACACCACGACACATCTGTGCTTTCTGTGAAGAAGAGCAGGAGTGTGAGACCTTCATGCCTCCAGAGCATGCTTGGACATCTGACCTGAGAAGAGACTTTAAAGGAGACATTTTGGAAAGTTTGAGTTCATGCAGTTAGAGTCCCTAATTAATTAGAGTTATTATAGTAAACTGTAGCTGAAATTAAAACCTTAGAAAAGTAAAAATAAATGTTAACTGAAATAAAATATTTATTTATTTTTCAGCTAATGGCCAGTGCAAAATCTCTCATTTTAATTTAGCTTTAACTTGTCGTACCAAAATAATAAAACTGATAAACTGATAAAAGCTATATATAAACTACTAAGAATGAAAAACACACAACAAAATTACTAAAACTTTACAATGAATTAACTGTTTAAATGTTTGTAAATTGTATTTGTTTTATTTTTATTTTACTTTTTATTTATTTATTTATTTGTTATGCTTTAAACTTGATACTCAAATTGTACTAAAATAACTACTACTGAAATAAGATATTAATAAAAACTATATGCACATAACAAAACTACTAAAAATGATCAAAACAATTATTGAATTGTACATTTTATTTTTTTGTTTAATTTTTATTTTTCATTTTATATTATATTTTGTTTTATCATTTTTAACTTGATATTAAAATTACTAAAAGCTACTAAAATTATAAAAACACAACAAAATTACTAAAACTTTAACAAAAATTAATGGTTTACATTTTACTTTTTGTTTTATTTTTAATGTTTTAGGTTTTTTAAATGTTGTATTTATTTTTTATTTGATTATTATTTTTATTTTTTAATTTAATACTAAAATTGTACTAAAATAAGTAAAACTGAAAAAAATTATAAAAACTATTTAGACATATATAAAAAAATTAAATTCTAAAAATGATTTTATATAATGTAAATAAATTGTATTTATTGTTTTATTGTTTAATTAATAAACAATACAACAAAATGAATATATATATTTATAAATATATATAAATGTGTATATAATTATTGTTTATGTATATGTGTGTATGTAAACAAAAACTACTAAAATTGAGAAAAACAGCAAAATTAATAAAACTTCAACGAAAATTTTAATGGAAAATATAAAAATAAAAACTGATGTAAATAAAAACTCCAATAGTAATGTCTGTGATTCTAAAGTAACACTGGTCCCTACGTCTGTGAGCTGTATGGGCGTTTAATGCAGAAAATAATAAGGAGCCCAGAGAAATGCTGGCAGGACGTAATTCCCCTGCTCCATCCATATTAGTCAGAGCTGTGTTGACCAACTTTAATGGCTTCTTCTCTGGCTCGACAGATTGCTTGATGATGTTGCAGAATCCAAATGTCACCGGCGGGCGTGTGCGACAACTCGCTCTCCTCCTCGTGCCTAATTGATTTCAAGAGCCACTAACTGTAATACTGTGAATATTACTGTTACATTTCATGCATATTTAGCTACAAATGTTTCCTCTTTTGAGGATTTGATTTGGAAATGCAAAGCAGACGGCTGCGTTTCTGAGAGCCGGTCATGCTTTTAACTGCTTTTGCATTTTAATTTTGTGTATGGATTATTATTCATTAGTATTGATTTGTTATTTGTTGTTGTAAACAAGACTGTCAGTCGTCAGTCAGTTTCAGCATGAATGTGTTTTGTAATTATAATCAATAATCAATGTTTAGGATTGTACTCGCACTTTACGAAAATTGCTTACAGTAATTTAATTTAAAATAAAAATATTTAAAATATTTTATGATCCTTGCATGCATGCATCTGTAAGGTTTTATGTATTTTCATTTTTGTATTTAATTTGTAATGTTTTGAATTGTTATTTATTCATTGTTATTGTTTTAATGTCAATATTTAAGCAATTAATTGATTATTACATTTATTTATTTTTAATTATTTTATTTATTTTTGGCTTTTTCAGTTTTTTTGTTTTGTTTGTTTTTATTTATTTGTTTGTTTTTCATTGTTTTTTATTAATGTGTTTAAAAAAATAGGCATGGCTATTTTAGATGTGTTTTGAATGTAAACATTTAATCAGTTAATAGATCGTTTACAATTTGAATTTACATTTATGCATTTGGCAGACACTTTATCCAAAGCTTTTATTTCATTTCATTTCATTTCATTTCATTTTATTTTGAGCAGTTTTATCTTCTTTCCAGCTGCTGCAGTGTTCAGTCCGGTGCTCTTCAGGGACTGTGCATCGGTTCGGGCCACTGTAATGTGATTGTGAGGGTCAGTGTGTTGGGAATACCGATGCGTCTCTATAATCACATTGACCAGAAACACAAACTTCCAGGAATCTAATTATAGTGAACAAAACAGATGAACAGACACAATTACCCAAACCCTTCTGCTGTGATCCTCTTTCTCCCTCCACTGAAGATTTCTGTTCAGTCAGTGGCACCTGAATAAAAAAAAATATAAATAAATAATGATCAACTAATTGATTGATAAAACTTTATTTTAAGGCCAGTTCTCATTAACTAGCATGCATATTACTAGCTTATTGGCTGTTTATTAGTACTTATA